GTGTGTGTGTGTGTGTGTGTGTGTGTGTGTGTGTGTGTGTGTGTGTGTGTGCGTGAGTGTAAAAAGGTGAACGGAGGAGCGAGACAGCAAGCCCTGAAAGGACGATGTAGCAATAAAACACTGACAAACAGAGGAAAACACAAAGCAGAATCTTAAAAAAGAAAATAGTGCAAAGCTCAAAACTGCGCAAAACGCACAACGTTTACTGAGCTTATAATTCTAGTTACATATTGTGATATGTTTGATTAACTTCATTTGCAGAAAACAGCTCATATTAGCTTCTCGATTGCCACATCGTCTTGTACTAATCAATCAGACAGCGGTTTTTTCTTCTTTAATTTTTTTTTTTCTTTTTTTTTTTTTTTTTTTTTTTTTTCACTGTCTTAATCGACTGTCAGCTTTAAGGCGAATCTATGTTGTTTTAAAAAAGACTTTTGATCTTTCTACTTCCAAAGCGTAGAATAGATAATTACCCTTCTTTTTTGCTTAAGAAGCTGGACTACATCTTTTTTTCGTGTCTTGTGAGATTATTCCAAGCAGTTTCCATCTTTGGTTGCTAGCTGTTAAAGCTATGTGGTGCGCAGTCATGCAATCTCCTTCCTCCCACATTACGCTATATTTTTGTGTAGTAGATTCTTGAGACGTCTTTTACGCAGTATTTACACACGGAAGGCAATATGATATAGTGTTTTTTATGTTGTATATTGAAAAATAAGAGCTTAATAATTTGTCCGAAACCTCATTCGACACAATTCAGGACATCCAAGGAAAGGACTGCTTTGACCTTGCCGTTCAAGTCAAACCAGGAATGAGATTAATACGAAATCTCACGTCACCTAGATCTAGTGAAATGCGATATTAAAACTACGAAAAAAAACCCCAACCAAATTGAAGGTAACTATCAATATAAAATCAAAACCCCCCAAAAAAAGAAAAACAATCAAACCTCCAGTCATAGAAATCACATTTACGTCTTCTGACAGACAGGCAAGCCGACAGACAGACAGGCATACATATAGATGGACGGACAGAGATGGGGAGGAAGAGAGTGTGTGAGAGAGAGAGAGAGAGAGAGAGAGAGAGAGAGAGAGAGAGAAAGAGAGAGAGAGAAACTGAAAGAAAGAAAGAGATATGGAGACAAAAGAAAGAGACAGTGAAAGACAGAGGGTAGGAATAGAAGATACAGAGAAGAAGGAATAGAGGAAGTAATGGCATGATGTCTGGCCAAAAGAACTGACCTTGCTTTTTCAAACAAGCCAACAGGCCATGATTTTAGCACTCCAGGGCTAAAGAAGCCTTGAAGTTAATTGAAATAATTAGTTGTCAGCACATTAGAATTCTTCTGGGAAGAGTTGTTGTGTTTCAGTTAAGTTAGGCACATGCATAATTATTTAATGTGAATGATAATCGTAATTTTTTTTTGAAATGTATGAATATAAGAATTAATGACAATACAAATTACATAAACTTGTACCAGATATGTACTTTTGGATATCCACTCAAACGCTTTAGAGATGTTTCCGTATATTAAAAGACTCACAATATATCACTATAGTTAAATTTGTCCATGATGTCTCAAGCCACATTCCTTTACTTCCTCTTGGTCTGATCCTATTCTTTTCTTTTCTTGTTACAAATGAAGATACCTAGGAAAGTTTTATTTCATTTTCACGCCAAGGATGCACTTGTACTTAGCACTGTAGGAGAAAATGGTGGGGAGATAATAGCTCATAAGTTGGAAATCACGTGATATCAACAAATTTGTCATGATATCAACAGACAATGGAAGAGTGCGACGAACTGTGGGGATTTTCTTTGACCAGTTCATATTTATATAGCTTATTATTAATCTTCTTTTATTTTTTTTATTCGTTAAATGTTAATGTGACAGCACATTTGGTCACTTTTAAGCACAAGGGGGCTATCCCGAAAATGCTGTTTTGAGAAAATCGAAGGTAAAGTTTTTGAACCCTTGTTCAGTTTCTTTATAAAACAAGGAGAGTTTTCTATATATAACAAAACAAATATACACACAAATGAAACCAAACTTTTCCTATAGGTAGGACAATGCCCACATTTGGTGTAGGTCAAGATTTCTGGAAACCCCCGATATCTGGGTTAGCCCGCTTGTCCTTAAAAGCGACCATTTAGAGACTTTCTTCCACAAGTCAGTTGAGGAAGACTAGTCATATCTAGTGGTTGGGGGTTCGTCACTGGAGATCCTTTTACTTTCTTTCAATAAAACCGTGTGTCTAAACAAAAGAGGATACGTTAAAAGGGCAATATGTATGCCATCTGTAGACCAATTTAACGAAACTTTGAAGAAGTAAAATTTTACCAGGGGA